AGTTTGAGAGTAGTATAGCCGGTGAAACCCCATCTCTACTAAAAGTACAAAAATTAGCTGGGAATGGAGGTGCACACCTGTAGTCCCAGCTACTTGAGAGGCTGAGGCAAGAGAATCACTTGAACCCAGGAGGCAGAGATTGCAGTGAGCTAAGATTGTACCCCTACACTCCAACCGGGGGCGACAGAATGAGACTCCATCTAAAACAAACAAACAAACAAACAAACAAACAAATAAACAACAAACCTAAGTAATTCTAATTGTTTTTATCTCAACAGACTGATTCTTCTTTTCGATTTTTGTTTGTTTGTTTGTTTGTTTTTGAGACAGAATCTCACTGTTTCCCAGGCTGACGTGCAGTGGTGTAATCATGGCTCACCACAGCCTCAACCTCCTGGGCTCAATCAATCCTTCCATCTCAGCCATCTGAGTAGCTGGGACTACAGCCATGTACCACCATGCCTGGCTAACTTTTGTATTATTATTAATTTTTTTTTGGTAGAGACAGGGTTTCGCCATGTTGCCCAGGCTTGTCTTGAGCTCCTGGCCTCAAACAATGTACCCACCTCAGGATTACAGGCGTGAGCCACCGCGCCTGGCCCATATCCTATCTTCAATGTCATATCCTGCTGGAAGATTTCCTAGATATGTAGCACCCAGCTCCCTAGTTAGATGGGTGTTCCTTACATTTATTTATTTATTCATTCAAAATATGTTTATTGAATCCTATTGTGTACCAGATACTGATCTAGGTGGTGGAGATACATCAGTGAGCTAGGAAAAGACATAAAACCCTGTCATGCTATCTCTTCCTATATTATGCTTCTCTATATTTTCATATGTTATTACTATTGTTTGTTAATTGTCTTCTCATGAGATAGGGTGACTTTTCCACGCTTGTGAAACTCAAACTACTAATGGGCATAACAGATATTTAATAAGTATTTGATGAGTAAATGCATAAATGAGCAAAGTCTATAGTATTTTCTTGCGGAATTTCCCTTCAGCATCATGGGCCAGCATCCTGGTTCTGACCTTCCCTCCCTTTTTGATGATCCACATTTCAGATACCTAGAGATCTCAGGTTCTTTTCTCTTTCTTGCTTCCCAAATTACTATTCACGCCACACTTACTCATACTCCTTATTAACTCTTGGATTCCTCAGTGGCAAGAGCCAATGCTCATCTGCCTTTGTATTCCCAAAGCTTTGCTCATTACCTGGTATATAGTAGTTGCTCAACAAATATTAAGGAGGGTTGTGAGGCAGCTGCTCACACCAAGAGCTTGAAGTCTTTGAATGTAGCTGACTGGGGAAGGATCTCACTGTACATAGGCTACTATCTACTTTGCTTATGGACAAACTTGGACCTGCTAACAAATATATATTTTGTGCAAACCATTCTGGATCACCAAGAAAGTCTTGGGAGATCTAGGCCTCTAGTGGGATTTAGTTATTTACTACTTAAATAACATAAATATTCTAGGTCAAAAATCATATGAAATGAACAGTGGTCCTCAGTAAACATGCTATATTTATTAGCTCAGGAATAAAAAGTTCTGGGAATTAATTTCCTTAGAGTCACACCGTTACCAAAAGCAGAGTAGCTGCTGCCTACACATAGTGTGTTTAGAGCTAATTTAGTCATTGTAGTTTGATAAGGCTAGATTATTTTCTTGGATGAAAAACCAGCCTTGATCTGAGGCCTCTGTGTACACACACTGCTAAGTATTGCAATAGTTTACCTGGTTTCCTGGGTCTGGGTCTGCACACTTTTTTGGAGTACATGGTGCTACCAAAGCAACTCTCTGTATAGATTTTGCACTGATCCAAGATCCCTGGGCCAGGCAGTCTGTACCAAACCAATCTCCTTGTTAGTCGCCCTCTGATTTTGACTTGTGCTCCTCATGACTCATGCTGCATTTCTAGTTTTTTTCCCCCTTCTCTATTCCTACATCTTAATGCTTTCCCAATTCCTTGTAACATAGTTCCTCTGAGAAGGGGTCCATTCTTGCCTTCCGCTCCCCATGTAGCTTATTACCTTTAGGAATTGAGATCTTCCCATTTTCCCTAGTACTTACTGAAACAGGAAAACTTCCCTTGTCCCCTTCACAGGGTGTGAGATGGATGTGGTTCACTTCTTCAGTGCCCTGCTGCCCTGCTGCTCTAGGGGGAGCATGCAGAGGGGCAGGCTGTGGGACTCCCAGCACTTCCCTGCCCCGCTCCCCGCCTGTATCACCATGGCTCAGTCTTTGCTACTCACTGCTGAACGTCTTGTTGACAACTTACCTATCTAGACATCTGCCTTTTAGGTGAGGCCCAAATTCTTGCTATCCCTGGTGATAAGGTCTAGCTGTGTCCCCACTCATCTGAAATGTAGCTCCCATAATCCCCATGTGTCCTGGGAGGGACCTGGTGGGAGGTAATTGAATCATGGTGGTGGATTTTTCCCATGCTGTTCTCTTGATGGTGAATAAGTCTCAAGAGGTCTGATGGTTTTATAAAGGGTAGTTCCCCTGCACATGCTCACTTGCTTGCTGCCATGTAAGAGGTGACTTTGCTTCTCCTTCGCTTTTCGCCATGATTGTGAGGCCTCCCCAGCCATGTGGAACTAGAAGTCCCTTAAACCTCTTTTTCTTTAGAAATTACCCAGTCTTGGGTATTTCTTCGTAGCAGTCTGAAAATGGACTAATACACCTGGGGTCTTTAGGATTTGGCTCTCCCCTGTGTAGGATATTTTACTGCTCACATAATCCAGGTAGGAACATCTCCTTCCCTCTGCTAGTCACCTCTTTGCTAAGCTTAGAAAGAGACTAAGAAAAAGAGAAAGAGAAAGAAATGGGATAGGGCAAAAGGGAAAAGAGATAAAGAAATTAGTTTGTAAATGGAATTATTTTTTCTCCACCTCTCAGGTGGCTAGCAGGAAGTAAGCAGAGGAAAGACAAGTATAAAAACAGATGCGGTATCATCATGAACTCGGAAACACTGGCCAGCTTTTCTTGCAGGAGGTCATATGGGTTCCTACTCCAGGATAAGATCTATTTCCTGAGGTTTGCTGTTCTAGGAAGTCTCATGCCTTGTATCCAAGCAGAAGAGCTACATAGCTCAACCCTCAAGCTACTAAAGAAACTTGTGTCTAACATTGCCTTAAGGTTGAAACTGAAACTCTGTCCTCTTCAGAGAGACATGTGTCAATTTCTGCCATCTGAGTCTTCACTTATCTTCCAGGCCACCCATTCATGTGAAAGCAAGTCTTGTATTTCAGCTGCTGTTTTCTCTTAAAAGGTCTGTGCTGACCAAACTGCTCACTATCTTTCAATCTTCTTTGTGATCATTGGAAAGATTGGTGAAGTTACCCCAGCCACCCAGTCAGAGAAAACCAATTGAATTTACTTATAGCTACTTCTTTCCCTACGTTCAGCTTTAAGTGGACTAGTTCCGAACTTTGGGTGTTTTAGAAATGCAGTGGACCATCATCAAGTATAACATGAGTTGCTACTATTGAGCATTTACTGTGAGATAGGCACAGTGGTGTGCTAATAAACTGCCTCAATGAAACTAAAAACAAAACCCTGATTTGTATTGTTGCCCAAGTTCCATGATGTAAATACTCCTACTGTGGCCAATTTCAAGCTACCAAAACTGGGAAGAGTTGAGAATCAGAATCTGAAAGACATGCAGAAGAGATATTCTCTGCCAAGCCAGTAATGGCTATTCGAGCACACTGTAGGCATTTTACAAGTGCCATCTTTTTCAGTTCCCATTACATTCTCATGAAGTGGGTACTATTATTATCTCCATTTCACAGATTAGAAAACTGATATTCAGAGAGATTAAGCAACTCTCCTAAAGCACGCAGTGACAAAGCAGAATAGCAGATATTTGTATCTAAATCTGTGTACTCTGAATCTGTGTCCATCAATGGACATAAAATATCCAAGAATCTGTTCACATCATTCTTTTATTTATATGGAGCAAAGGAGAATCCTGAATCTACAACATCTATTTTCCTTAACTTTAAACTGTTCACGAAAAGATATTCTACCTTCAAATAGCCAGAAGAAAGCGAAGAGGACTTTCCATTGCTATGCTTCTCCATTTCTCAGAGAAATGTACTTTATAGACCTTTTCCTATGGAAGGACACAGAGATGATGGAAGGGGTTGAGTGAACACCTCTTTTTGGCTTAGCTGATACTTTGTGATCCAGTCCCTTCTTAAAAAGTATTGTTGAGTTCATTGTATAGTCTATCAATTCGAAGTTAAATTTGCTGGTACCATAAATCCAATGTCTCCATATACTGTAGAGGCTTTTTCTCTCTGGATGAAGTGTGTGTTTCATCTTGCCCAGAAATACTTATTTGCAGGGGCGGGAGGAGACTTGTACTCACCAATCAGGGATATTCATATTGTTTGTTACATTCAGAAGAAAGGGCTATGGGTCTCATTTAGGGACACACACACACACACACACACACACACACACACATTTATCCACTAATTAGAGCTTTGTAAAGAGTGAATATGTTAAAAATAAGCTAAACCATTTTCTTGATCATGATAGTGATCAGACCAGTCATGTGTGCAGAGAATGTCTCCGTCATTGGATCAAAGTTTAGTGTTTTTTCTTTGGGACAAGTGTAGAGAGGAACCAATTTTGACTTTGATAAAAATCTGATGGCCTTAGATTTTGTAAAAGTCAAATTTGTTGTGCATGAACAGCCTGGAATAGGATACATAAGTATGGAAAATGAATTAACAAAAGGACAAAAAAGACAAGTGGATTCACTCATGCTAATGCCTCCAGATGGTGCTGAGCACAGAGCACAGCCCTGTCTGTCCTTGACATATCTTGCATATGTATGTCTCATGTTTCAGAGGGCATATGAATAGCCCTCCTGTGTTCTGAAAACTTCCCTGTAGTAAAGTGATTCCTAGGACCTTTACATCAAAAGAGAGTTGGAACCATTTCCTCTAAGCTGGACCTCTTTTCCCTATTTCCAGTTGCTTTTACTTCTTCTCCTCACCAATGCCAAAGGGAAGACTTACATGCTGAAGATCAGTGAGAGGTTGAGAGAGTATCTCTACAATCCCTGGGGATATATTGTACCTCAAATAGACGCTTTTTCCAGCTGCTCTTCCAAATTGGTAACTAGATCTGGGCACCACCGCTGCTCATCCATTTCCATCCTGTTGCCTGGGTCTTCAACAGTAGCTTCTGATGAACGGTTTCCATGGCGACATGAGTAACACCTCCAGTCTGCCACCTCCTAACTGCAGAGATGAAAAGGGTAAAGGAAACAAAAGCTAAGCAAAATCAGTCTTCAGTATAAGAGTTTAAAAGGAATGGCAGCTTAATCATCAATAATTATTTAATACCAACATCCAAATTGAGTGGTGAAATTTTACTTCACTTTTGATGTTTAGAATTATCTTCTCTTTTGGTATCTCTGGCAGATGATCTATCTTCTTTCTTTAGTTAATTGATTCCAATTTCTAGGTAATAAGGGCCTAAGATAATGTTTTCAAGCAGGAGGTTAGGATTTTTCAAGTGGTCATAGGTCTTTCTGATACAGAGAAAGAGCAGAGAATAGAAAACTGAAAATTCTCAAACAGAAACTGTAAAGTTTATTCTCTGTAGGTTTATTGCCGAGTTAAAAACGAGGAAACTGAGGCCAGCACAAGAATATTAGATGCCAATTTATTCAGCTCCCAGGCGAGGTTCTGTGGTCCCAGGGAGAGGGGCCAAGGAAGTCATGCCTGACTCCTCTCAGGTGTGGGGTTTTATAGGGAGTGAAGGCATTCGATTAGATTTGGAGAAACAGGATGTGGATAGGGTGAGTTGCTATTGGTAGGTAGGTGGGACTTCCGGTGAGCAGCCTAAGTGCTGAGTGCAGAGGGGATTTCCAAGGTGGGTTAAGTGCTGAGTGCAGAGGGGATTTCCACGGGTGGGGTTAGGTACCCAGTGCAGAGGGCATTTCCAAGGCGGAGCTGGATGATGGGCATATTCTGATATGTAATTTTCAAGTGGGGAGGGAGATGGGCATATTCAAACTCCGGTGAGGCAACCAGCCTTACAGAAACAACTAGCAGTCACCAGAATTTCCTTCCTCCAATTTTTTTAGCTTTGCTTTTTTCTTTCTTGACTTCTTCACAAGTCAAGATGGCATTGAATGGTTGCTGACAGGAGAAAGATGAGCAAAGCAAGAGATACTTTGTAAGAAAGAATCATGGGGGAAAAGGCGGTTTTACACTACCATTTACTACTGCCTCTCAGACTTTACCTAACCACTGAAAGCTTTGACTTATTTCTTTGAGAAATCCTGAGCTGTAGAGCACATGACCTGTTTAGTATCTGAGTTTTATTCATTCACTTAGCTGACATTTAGTCTAACTTTATATGCCAGGTATGCAGAGAAGAATACGACAGGCAAGTTCTCCTAGAGATTGTAAGGATATCTTAGCTTTTTCTCCTCCAACAATTTGCTTACTTAAGGAGCTAAAATAATCTCAGTCAAACCAAGATAAGGGCAGTAGCAAAGAGACCAGGTTTGCTAAGAGTAACTAAGATTAGGAGTCTAGCTGTTAAGAAGGTTCTCACAGGATAAACTCCGAAGAGTATATTGTCCGGACTAGAGAAGACTGCTGGGAAAAGTAAAGCAGGTATTCAATGGAGTTACAGAGGACATCATGGGTAGACAACAGAGTATATAAGCTCTGCTCCTGGAGAAGAGGTTCTCTGCTTCTTACTGTTTTTAGTATTTGCTACATCTCAGTGGCCTTAGTCTCACAGGTGATGACTTTGGCAAGAAGTATATCCTGGATCTCTACTGGAGCCATGATCCTCCTTGTGGGTGAGAATGAGAAGCATTGAGATCATCTTCTTCAGTTTTATAATTTTATGCAGACCGTTCAGAGTAAAAGTATATTTACACTGTGTTTCATATTTTCCTACATAATTGCTTCTACTGGTACTCTTAATTTTTTTTGATGTGGATTTGAGTTACCATCTTGTGCCATTTCTATTCAGCCTTTACCATTTCTTGTAAGGAAGGGCTGTTGTCCATTAATTCTCTCAATTTTTACTTACCTGAGGAATTTTTTTTTTTTTTTGAAACAGGGTTTTGAAACAGGGTCTCATGCTGTCATCTGTGTTGGACTGCAGTGGTGTGATCTCAGCTCACTACAACCTCTGCCTCCTAGGCTCAAGCAGTCCTTCCACTTTGGCCTTCTAAGCAGGTGGCACTATAGGCGCACACCACCACACCCGGCTAATTTTTGTATTTTTTGTAGAGACCAGGTTTTGCCATGTTGCCCAGGCTGGTCTTGAACTCCTGAGCTCAAACAATCCACCCACCTTAGCCTCCTGAAATGCTGGGATTATAGACGTGACTCACCATGTCTGGCAGGAAATGTGTTTATCTTGCCTGCGTTTTGGAAGTATAGTTCTGCTGGATGTAGAATATTTGCTTGACAGGTTTTTGTTATTTTAGCCCTTTGAATATGTTATCCCACTACCTTCTGGCCTCCACTGCTTTTGATGATAAGTCAGTTATTAATCTTATTGGGGATTCCTTTTATGGGATGAGTTATTTTTCTCTTGCTACTTTCAACATTTTCTCTTTGTCTTTTGACAATTTGGCCATGACGTTTCTAGATTTGGATCTCTTTGAGTTTATCCTACTTGAGATTTGTTGAGATTTCTGAATTTGTAGATTAATGTTTTGTTAATCAAATTTGGGACATTTTCAACCATTATTTCCTGGAATATTTTTTCTTCTCTCTCTCTCTCTCTCTCTCTCTCTCTGTTCCTCCCTGTATTCCCACCATGTGGATAATGATTTGATTAATCGTCTCTCACAGGTCTCTGAGACTCTGTTCATTTCTCTTCCCTTTTTTTTTTTCTGTTTTTCAGGTTGGACACACTATCTCCAAGCTTGCTGATTTTGTTTTCTTGCCAGTTGAAATCTGCTTTTGAATAACTCTAGTGAAATTTTCATTTCAGTTATTTTACTTTTCAACTCCAGAATTTTACTTTGGCTCTTTTTATAATTTCGATTTCCCTATTATATTTTCCAGTTGTGAAGCATTGTTGTCATACTTTCGTGTAACGATTCAAACATGGTATCTTTTAGTTCTTTGAATATATTTATAATAGTGATTTGAAGTCTTCGTCTACTAAATCCTACATCTAAGCTCTCTTATAAATGGCATCTATTGACTGCTTGTTTTCCTGTATATGGGCTACATTTTCCTGCTGCTTTGTATTTCTGGTAATTAAAAAAAAAAAAAAAAAAAAAAAAAAAACTAGACATTTTAGATCATACTGCAGCGACTGTGGATTTTGATCCTCCCAAGGAATTTTTGTTTTTGCTCTTTTGTTTGTTAACTTTTTTAGTGACTTGCCTGAACTGATAAAATCTCTTCAATGTGTGGCCACTGAAGTCTGGTTAAGTTTTTAGATTTTTTAATTATTTTTTTTTATTTTTGAGTAGGCTTCCTACTGGTCACACCTGAGTCAGCATAGCTGAATGGTCATCCAATGATTGCTCAGAAGTTTACCATAAACACCTTGAGTTAACAAGGTTTCCACTCTGTGCCGTTGGAGCTGTACGTGAGTTGGTGCATACATTCAAAGTTTAGACAATTCACGATTCTACCTTGACTTTTACTTTCTGCTTGCGCAGAGTCTCATGGTCAGTCAAAGGCCCCGGGGCGCTCTTTGGTCTTTCTTGAGTGTAAATGCAATCCTGTGCATAGGTACAATTTTCCAGGTCCCCAGGAATATATCAGCACTTTTCGAAATCCTCATGGCTGTCTCATTTTCCCTCTATGCCTCTTAAATTTTGGTTGGTCTCTTGCTTATCCCTACTAGTACTGCAGCCTTAAACAGTTGGCTTTCCCAATGTTGGGTTTCCCAGTTGTTTGTCACTACTTGCTATCAGATTTGACCATGTCCCAGGTGTGGGATTTTTCTGGGGAGCTTCAAATCAGATCAACCCCCTCCATGACAGTGAGGCTGCTAGCCTTCATGGCTACTGTATCATTTACCTAGAGGGGAGAGATGGGAACAGCTCCAAACTAAAATGTAACGGATCCCATTGTCTGTACTAAGATTCAGTAGTGTTTCTTAAATACATGTGTTTCAATTTATCTGTGCCTTTGGTTATTTTCAGAGTTCTGAAATGACTGCTTTTGATAATTTTGCTAGTTTTATCAGTGTTTTTTAAGGTAGGATTTGCCAATGTTCTCACTCCACCATTCTGAAAGTGGCCAGCCCTCTCAACACTTTTGTTTGGGACTTGGTGCTACAATTAATTATAAGAAAACTCCAGCTACAAAAACCAGGTGAATGACTGCTTGGTATGGCAGCAAAAAATTGCAATTAAAAGTCTATTTGTGGCCGGGCGCGGTGGCTCAAGCCTGTAATCCCAGCACTTTGGGAGGCCGAGACGGGTGGATCACGAGGTCAAGAGATCGAGACCATCCTGGTCAACATGGTGAAACCCCGTCTCTACTAAAAATACTAAAAATTAGCTGGGCATGGTGGCGTGTGCCTGTAATCCCAGCTACTCAGGAGGCTGAGGCAGGAGAATTGCCTGAACCCAGGAGGCGGAGGTTGCGGTGAGCCGAGATTGCGCCATTGCACTCCAGCCTGGGCAACAAGAGCGAAACTCCGTCTCAAAAAAAAAAAAAAAAAAAAAAAAAAAAAAAAAAAAAAAAAAAAGTCTATTCGTATGACTTGAAAACTAATTAATTCAGTGTGAAACATAGGCAAGCAAGAAGTTTTCTAGCATTTTCACCAAAAGGTGTTCAATAACTAGCTTCCTTTTGGAATTCTTATGCTATTCTTTGCATATCTCAGTTGGTAAAGTCACTAAATTATTTTCTAATAATCTGTTTAAGGGTCTGTATTCTCCACTAAGCTATATGCTCCTTGAAATACAAATAGTGTTTTAATTTTCAAAAGGATCTTGTAATGTGTGGCCAGGGCTTCTAGTAGGTACTCAATAATTTTTTGCTTAGTATTGTTGAACATTGTAGTTAGAGGTGACCCAAGGCTGAGGATGATACTAATAGTATCCAAACTGTAGAACAATTTGGACTTCATTTTCAAAAAATCAACCTTTGGCATATCAATTTGAGCA